AACTACATAGAAGAATTAACAAATGGAAATGCTGTTTGGAAGAATTAGATTATCCCTCATGTCTGAGACCAGACTATCCTCCTCACATTACCTTGGGGACCTAACCATATGGTCCACTCAAACACAAATATTCTGAAAGCTACAGAGAAACATTTGACGGCAGAGTACTCCTGCTCACCTGTCAGAATCATGATTTACTGCCTTGTTTTGTGTCACACAGTAATCTAAAATATTTAGGAACTCTACCTTAAACGAGCATAAAAGGCATTGTGGGTACATTCAAGAGCCCTTCTTAGGGATAATGATGAGAAGAATGTGCTGAGAGAGAAAGGTCTTCTAATCCATCATTCTTTTCTTCTCAGAAATTTGTTTGAGAAGTTAGAGCAAGAAAGAGGTTGTGAAGAATTTGGCCCAGACTTGCGTCTCAATTTTTCTTCGTCAGGGAAAGAAATCCTTTAAAAAAAAAGAAGTCATGGCTTGAAAGAAGGAAGTAATTTGTTCAATCCAATGTCTTTTTTTTTTCTTTTTTTTTTTTGTCTTTAGACTACAATCAATTATTCTGCCAATATCTCTGTTTTTCTTTTTTTCCTTTTCTCTTTTTTTGCATAAGGCTTTCATTATATTATGATGGACACCTGTCATAACTGTAAATGACATCTCAGGAGCGTGTTGATGCTAATATGATATCTTTGGAGTCTCTAGTCTCACCTCCAGCTCAGAAACTGAGTCGCGTCACTACCTCATGTCAGCTGGGGCTCTGTCTGGCCACAGCTTGGACCCTCCTGGACCCTATGGTCACATAGAGTACCTGTGCCAGGGCTGCAACCCACCCATTCCCTGGTGAAGGAAATAAGAAGCTTCCAGAAAAATTCTGTTCATTGCAAGTATGCATCTGCTGTGCAAGTGTGTGCAAATAGGCCTTATTTGCAGAGGTGAGGAGGTGGGGAAGAAGACTCTACTCTTTCAAAATCTCTAAGAAAGCTCAAAGATTCTTGTAGCCACAACAAAACAGGTTATTTGGAAAATGTTATTAACCTGTTCCTTCTAAAATATTTATACCATGTATTTGAAAACATAGCATATTTACATTGATAATATTGGTGTGGTAGTTAAATTTCTGAGAGGGAAGCACATATTTAGAGTGTAAGGTTTTCTGGACGTCTCCTTAAAGAAGATGACTCTTGTTAGAGACAAGGAATAAATCCCATTCTCCCCTATCAAGATACATAATCAAGATTAAATTCTATGGGACTTGTTGGAGTACTTTGAAGATGGAGTTTAGGATGTAAGATTTTCTGTTCAACAATTCGCTTACATTAATCCACTCAGAACCTAAAACAAAATCAGATGTTGACTTTTTCTTCAGAGGAAGGAGAGTGATATACTGCAGAGATGTCTAGTTCTTATTAAATCCTGGTATATGTAGTTTTCAGGATTGTTTATTTCAGAATTACAGAATCACACAGAATCCCAGAATGATTGAGGTTGGAAGAGATCTCTAGAGATCATCTCTAGTCCAACCCCCTGCTCCAGCAGGGACACCCAGAGCACAGGGCACAGGGTGGGTTTGGAAGATCTCCAGAGGAGACTCCACAACCTCCCTGGGCAGCCTGTTCCACTGCTCTGTCACCCTTACAGTAAAAAAGTTCCTTCTCACATGGAGATGGAACCTCCTACATTTCAACTTATATCCATTGCCCCTTGTCCTGTCACTGGCCACCACTGAGAAGAGTCTGGCCCCTTCCTCCCTACATTCACCCTTTAGGTTTTAATATATAATGATCAGATCCCCTCTCAGCCTTCTCTTCTCCAGGCTAAACAGGCCCAGCTCACTCAGTCTTTCCTCATGTGAGAGATGCTGCAGTCCCTTAGTCCTCTTTGCTGCTCTCTGCTGAACCCTGTCTAGAAGCTCCACATCTCTCTCATACTGGGGAGCCCAATTAAAGCTCACTTGAGAGAATAAAAACACCCAATACTCTCAAGCTCATGATCAATAATTTGAGTTGTCTAGGAAATAGAAGTTGTTCAACAGAAGTCTTTCCAAGAGTTTTAGCTTTGGAACCTCCAAGTCTGTGGGACCTTTGCTATAGCTCAAGCCATTATGCAGAGTTACCACAGTTTCAAAAAAAAGTTTCAAGCAAGCTGAGTGTGAGGTAGTTGATGTCTTGCATGCTCTTCTAAGCTCCAGTTTGTTTATTTCTCACTATGAAGATCCAACAAAGGACAGATTTCAGAATGCACTCCTGATTTTGGCCTGAGCTCCTCTGCCTGCTCTGGCAGTACCAGAAGCTGGGGCAGCAGCTGTTGCCACCTTACATGCAGATGGACATGTCCAGTGAGTGTCTGAGTTTGCTTATGTTAATATTAATCACTTACAATCCCTTTAAAACCCAATGGTGAGTTGCAATAATTCCTGCTTCCCCTGGCAGTAATGGAAGCTCTTTGGCATATGGGCCCTAGGAGACCACCGGTTGACCTGGGAGAACATTGATATCACATCTCTAGAGCAGGCAAGACCTGAATACCTCAAGTGTGTGGAATATTTTACTCTTGTTTTGCTTATTGGTGCCCTTCATACTGCTCAGGTGCCTGTGCTGCATTCCTAAATATGCTAGCGGCAGCTTGAATTTCTGCTGATCTGAGAGAAAATTTGGCCTCTTAGCCAATGGGGTAAGAAACTATATTAATTTCAAATAAAATTCAGGTATTATATTCTGTGTTATTTTATTTGTGCAGAGCTTGAGTGACAAATAGCTGCTACTGGTAATGCTGCATATATGTTGATAGCTTTTTCTAGATCCTGGCAGTCACCTGAAAAAAATTGTTTAACACTTCTGTGTTACGTAAGTTTTGGATATGGCCTTTTTCAGGAATTCCACCTATCTACCCCAAGGCTTCTGGGATTTTATCACCCTTCCTTTTACCTTCAGAACTCCTTTAATTTTGAAGAACTTTCTTCAATAGACCAGTGGTAACAGGTGAAGCTTCAGAAGTGAATCTCATAGTTCCTTTTTCTGCATACAGCTGATGTCAGTTGGGACTCTTAGGGCATTATCAACACAAAAGGTCAATTTATTTGTCAGGAAACAACCTTTCCTGAATAATTCACAGCTAAACACCCCTCGTAGCTGAATAAAGTCATTATTAATACATTTATAAGTTCTCAGTTTTCTTTGCACGTTTGCCAAATCTCCATGTATAATTAATTTCAGAGATAGTGAGTCATTTCCCTTGCTTGTGTAGGTCATTCAGCAGCATAAGAGAAGAAAGTATCTCAAACTGTGTGAAGTTTCCATTTTTAATTATACAGGTTTGTGGTTGCTAGTCTTTCTTCAGCATTAACACTAGAAATCTTTGCCCCTGCACTCTAATCTTTCAGAGTTTTTTATTTGAAATAAAGCATAATAAACCATTTTCTTTGAGAGTGAATGCAGTGTTGATGTGGAATCACACACTGGTGCACAACTTTTCCTAATAACATAGATGCACGTGTTACCTGGGTGCTGTGCCTGTATGGCAGGACAGAGGATCACTGCAACATCTTTGCAGACCTCCCATCTCCCCTTACACATAAATGGCTTCTGTAGTTATTATTCGGCAAGTACTTTATTTACAAAGAGGAGGAAAAGAATTGCTAAATATTTCTGAAAAATCTCACTAGAATAGACGATGTGAGCACGCTCATAGACACCATTCCAACACCCCACCCAGTCACCTGCCATACATATTGCCATTGTAGTGGTGATTCTTTTAAAGTAAGGATCCAAAATCGTCAGGCAAATGGCAGAAGTGATACCACTGAGTGTCTGTTTTACTTTTAACAGCTATTTGGAAGCCCTTGAAACTCCCAGCTCTGAACAGGGTGTTTTGAAACGTAAACTGAAATCCCTGGCTCTACCTGGCCAATACAGGCTCCTTCTAAGGAGCTCCTGCTGGTACACTCAGGTCTTGCCTTTCATTGCAGGCCTCTGAGAGGGCAGCCGACTAGTGCAGCTCTTGATGAATGTAGGTTTTCTGACTCGGCCAGGCAGCATTCCTGGGATCTGCACAGTTTGGTCTCGTTCCCTTTGTGCTTCACACAGAGAGCAGTGTGCATGGTTCTCTGCACTGATAACTTTGAAAGAAAATTTCCTCTAGGAAACCTGTCAAGTGGGACTAGGCACATGTTGAAAAGTTTTTCCATATTGGTCCCATAGAGAGAGTGCACATAGACTCTCAACTGGATGAAATGTGCACTTTAAGGAGAGAATTTTGGGGAAAAAAGGGGAAGAGAATCATGGAAGGAGGGTATTGTAGCAATGTGATAGAACTCTTGCTCCCCTCCATGTGCAACAGATATAATCCTTTTCATTTTGGCACTTCAGTGGTTACAAGGATCTCTGATAAATAGGCTAAACTGAAACCAGACAGCTGATTTAGTAAAACAAGCAGATCGTCAAATGGCACCATAAATGCTTGTCATTTATCAAAATATAAATGGGGTAGGACCAAGTATATTAAACAGAAATTCTGTGTTATAATACAGACAAGAAATGTGCAGCCCAATTATCAGTCACCAAAAATCAAAGTTGGAGAATGTTGTCCACTATTTGGGCTAATGTATCTCAGTTCTGTTTGGGGTCTAGCAATGGGAGCTAGCTCTAGTGAACAGTGCTACTGCAGGAATTTGGCTCTGATTCAGGTATGCTGGAACTTCAGACTGTTTATCCAAAAGCTTGAATCATCCTCACTTGCATCCTAGCAGTCTTGGCTGGCAATCAATCAGAAAAGCAGAATTCTTTACCAGCAGAACAGTAAATGCAGGGATGTGTTTTACAGACAGGGAGGATGTTAGATGTCATTGCTGGGCTAGAAAGAGAGGAAGCTGTTGCTATGATGAAGGAATACAAACAATCAAGTCACGTCAGCTGTCTTTGAAGATAACAGCACGACTGTGAAGGGAGGCATCTCTGCAACCTGGGAAGTGCTATAGTAAAACTCCCTCTGGCAGTTTTACTGTTTGTCCGTGTTCTTGGAAGTCTTGGTTGCTCCTATCAATTGCTTGTCTCCCAGCTAGCCTGTGGACCAAATAAAACTGTTGCTAACGGGATAGAAGCTGTTTGGATTCAAATGCCAGTGCAGGATATGGCAACAGAAATTAACATCTCATGTCTGCTGGGATCAAAGTTACTCTGAGCTCTGAAGATTGCAAAATGAAAGTACTGGGTTCTGCAAAGCTCTTCTTCAGCCCAGGATTGAACTCTCAAGGTACAGGTGTCAAAAGGTTGCAATAACCTTTAATTTCTTGTTTCTCAGTAAGAGGATGGATTTGAGTAATGGTGTGGAAAGAGTGGAGGTACAGAAAAAAGGTCAGAAGCGCTGGGGCTTGAGAGCTGGAATTCAAGTGCTAGAAGAATATTTTGGCTTAGCTATTGACATGTTGTGTGGCCTTGGACAGACTGGTTTATAAAGTGGGGAGGAAAAACTGGCATAGAACATCTAAAGATTAAAAGATGTTTAGTACTGCTTTGTACTTGCATAATTATAATTTTTAAAAGTGTTTATTAATTTCAAGCCAGCCTTTTACTTGAGTAAAACTCCACTAAATTTTCTTCAACTGAGTTTGCCTCTTGACAAAAAGAAAAAAAAAACATGTATATAAAGAAGACACAATGCTGCATGCAAATTCTAACCAGTTATAGAAACCAACTTAGCATTATCTTATGGGAGTTCAGTGCTGAAAAAGATTGGAATCCCAAGGGGAAACATAAAGTTTTTAAGGAATAGCTGTCAGGTGAAGACTTCCTTATAACTATATTTGTTAACTGTTCTGTTATGGGAATTGTTGATCAGGAAATGTACTTTATGCATGTTAGCTATGTCTCTGCCATTTTAATTGATATTAATTTAGTGACACCTTCTTCTGCATGAAGTCCCCAGACTATTTTCCAACAGATATATCTGAGCATCCCAGCTTTGCTTTTCTGTATAAGAACAGAGCTAAAAGGAGATGCTGGAAGATCATACTGCCTAAGGCATTACTGTGTGCGCTTCAAGGAGAGAGACAGGACATGTGTTAATCATCACTACAGTATGAAATGAGTAGCTACAGACCATTTAGGAGTGCGTGCAAAGTGATCCTCCTCGTCTTGCTTGTCTGCATGGCCTGTGGCCTGGCTGAGCTCCCTGAGAGACAGCTGGACGGCCCTTGAGCTACTCTGGTAAGACAGGCTGTGAAAATCAAACAGAAAGGAGGGAAACAAAGTAATGCTGATTTTACAGTGACCAAATTGCAGTGGGTCAAGGGCTGAAAAGATGCAAAAATAGAAAGGCATAATGATAAAAATTTGTTATTCACATAGACAGAAATAATCTACAAGAGACGATACTACGGACCCCAGCAGATCAGTGCAGATACACTGGAAGCCTGGAATTTTTCTCCATACAGTAACTGTAAAACCAATGTTTCTGTGCACTTTAGAGTGTCACATGGCATTCACATCTCTCAGGCTTAGTTCAGATTAGCCATTTGCAGAATCTGAGAGTGTAGTATTCTACACAACAGTATTCAGTGTTCTGTTGTGCAGAATACTATGCAGAGCACATCTCTCAGGCTTAGTTCAGATTAGCCATTTGCAGAATCTGAGAGTGTAGTATTCTACACAACAGTATTCAGTGTTCTGTTGTGCAGAATACTATGCAGAGTAGATCTAGTACTCTCCATTTTGAAAGACTGAATTTTACTGCAGTGTTAGTTTCTGCAAGATAGCTCTGTGTTTTTGAGCAGCCATGTGGCAGGTCTTCAGCTCTTGATAGGTTTTTGACATCTTTTCTCCATTTCATTAACTGCAGAACCATAGGCACATTTTTAATAAATTTGGGGTGCTAGGTAGCAAATCCAGGGAATGAACGTACCTGTGTAAGAGAAAAGTACACCTGGTTCCCATTCTTGGTCTTCTTAAGAATGAAATAATGAGAAAGATCCCTTCAAACTCATGTGCCTCAAGTCTGAGACCCACTTTCAATATTGAGATACATGGATAACTAACCTGATTTCCAGGAACAGCAAGTGGCACAGCAGTCTATGGACATGAGGCAGATTTGTGACAACTGGCAACGCAGAAAACCATGTCCATGATATTATGTGATTACTATCACTTAACCAGCAAGTGATGGCCAGAAGGCCACGCAACCATACTACTTCTTTTGGACAATGGAACCTAATTTATTTAAACTCAAATCAATAGTGCTGGAGTCCTGTAAACAGGACTCAGATATAATCTCAGATATTTCCACTGCAACATTAATAAACACGTTATTTATCAATAGGGAAATGGATTGACTTGATTTTTCTCCTGTTGCCCTTTCTTCTGTGATTAATGTCAAAAGAGTAGAGATTAAATGATTACTAGAGAAAAAATGCTCTCTAATTCCCCCTTGCCAGCAAAGTACCAAAGGATTTATCTAGTGACTTCTACCATCGCTGCATTTACACAGCTCACAATAAGAGATACAGGAGGTATTCAGCAGGAACAACATAACAATTCCTATCTGTTGCATAATTGGTGATGTTAGATGCTATAGTAGCTAGGCTTAATGATCCAGTAAGTCCAGTTAAAAACCACCTGGGTGTGCATATGTTTGCCTTAGCATGTGGCACTAAAAGCCTTCTATAAAGTTAATTGCCTTCTTTTCTTTGCAGTTATGACTCTAAAAGCTGTAGCTTGACAAGGAATTTGCAACGTGTACAGGTGACACCACCAGCTCACTAATGATAACAACATGACCAGCACTTAACAGAGCAGGTCAATTAATGAAGAAAAAGGCATGGGAATTCTTTTTTACTGGCCAAGAGAAGAGCCCCAGCTACATAGAGACAGCACAGCAGATATGGATGTTTGGCTTGGGAGCCTAAGGAGGAGGCCTGGACACAGGCTTTGGGAGTAATAGGGAAGCTCCAGGGAGGCACATTGAGGCAGAAGTGAAGGCAATAGATTGAAAAGTTGGGAAGCTCAAAAGTGGGAGGGCATTAAGGTAGCAAGGAGCCCAGAGTCTTGAATTAGAATGCTTATAAATAATAAAATTAGGTCTGGGTGGGTCAGGGAGGAAGTTTAGAGGAGTGAGGAACTTCTGGGATGGGGAGGTTCTGCATGGGAGGGAGCTTGAGAGACAAAGTGTGGGAGGTAAGATGTTTAGCTTGGGAAATACTGGGAGGTTCTGAAGAAAGAATAATGGAAATATTTGATCTCTTGGGCACTCCAGGACACGAGAAACTGAGGACAGAATGTCTCAGGCACAAGGAGACGGATAAGGCTTTCTACAATATGGGGGCTTCTCAGGAGAGCACTGAGGTTTTGCCTCTGCTGGCACCTGGGCTGGCACCATACACAGAACTGCTCTCTGTAGGCTCTGACAGTCCCTCGGTGTCACTTCCCACTCACTCTTTTCTATTTTCATTAATGTGGCGGCTCTTTCCATTTTTAATCAAGTAGCAATCAATGAGTATTCCCTGAAAAGAATTAGAAATATATTTTAGCTTTTAATAGATGATCTGATATAATATAATGTAATATAGTGTGTTATCATACAAATGTACTGTAGCCGTACTCTATGATCTATCAACTGAGAACAAGAAGAGCCAGCAAAATATCTATCATGGTGTGGGGCCATTGTTCTCCTTCCCTAGCCTATTGTCTGTAAACAAAAGAAAACTATGGATGCTCTTCTTGACTTTGCTGAAAATAACCTTTCAAACAAATGAACTTCAGTTAGTTTTTTTTCATCAGTTTTTACTGACTGTGAAGAAGCCAATATTACTTATAGAAGGTAGATTTTTCTTATAGTCAATTGTCATTTGCTTCCTCCTCCAAAGACTGAGATCCAGCTCCACTTGAGCTGCAGGTTTGTCTTTCCTTTCTGAGTGGAGCAAACCTCACCCTGCAGAAACAGTTCATAACCCAATTTCTGAACTTTGCTGTTGGTAATTGGAATTGCTGAGGTAAATGTGCTGGTGAATGCATTGGCAAATCCAGTGTCTTACTGGTTGCACTGAACCTGCAAACCAGCACATGCTTCTTTTTTTTTTTCATCTAATTTGCAGTCTGTTCACCTAACTTTGTTTATACCTAGCGAGTAGGCTTATTATTTGTTTGTACTTCATTTATGGCTTGCTTGCATCCAGGTTACAGTAGGTTTACTCGCAAATTACACCTAATTTGCAATCTTCACATAATTAACTGATTTGTTAATACCAAGTTTCTATCTGTTTACAAAATTTGACAACTAGGCATTTTTTTGATTTGATGAAGATCCTAATGAAGGGCAGGAGTTTTGTACAGGTTTTAAATTTGCATATTTCTGTGCCTTATTTGGCTGAGCTATTGAATAACCTGCCATGTTTGTGGAATAAAGAAATGGGCCATATATTTTAAATGGGGAGAAAATGAATAATTCAACATTAAGAGTCAAATTGTCCTGCCAAGAAAAACCTACTGAAGAGGAAGTACACTGAGTTATAATTATTTGCAATGTAGATAATGATATCAGTTATAGTTTCCAGCTGGAATCAAGCCTTCCTACTTTTGGCTTCCATACAATCATGGAGTAAAAGTTCTAGTCACAACAAGTTTGGGCCAACTGAAGACAAACCTCAATTACCCAAACAACTCAAGTTTGCAGAAAAGTAGGGCTGAATAAAGAGAGACCACATTTGATATAATTACTTATGGTAACATGTAGGCAACAATTAGCTAATCAAAATTTTAATGTAATTTTGCAGACAAAAAGTTTTAATCCATTCTGAAAGCTGTTGCAAAGAAATTCTGTTATTAGGCCAAGCGGACATCGTTTATTCTGGTCCAAGCTTGGATGGTCTGAGGGGAATTGCTAACCCAGAGTGCTTTACTGTGAATCTCATGCTGTCAGCCTCTTCTGAAAACCCTAGCTTTTGAAAACTACTTATAGAACAATCTCATTTTTCCTTTTTAGTCTAGTTTAGTCTTATCAGCAATTGTGAAGAAAGTGTTTAAAATGTGAATGAATGTGAAACATTAGTTTAAATGTTCCACAATTTTGAAGGGCTATTATAATTTTGATGTCACTTAATAAGCAGTTCAAAAGGTTTAAACTGCCTGTTTGATGGAGACTGTAGAAGACAATGGCTGAAGAGGCAAATAAATACAACAATTTGACACGAAAGTTACCACAAGGCAATCTTTGAGGAAAAGGGGTTTCTCAGAAAAGTGTACCTTTACCATTTTTCCTTCAGG